CACACACACACACACACACACACACACACACACACACACACACACACACACACATACGGACAATTTTCAGGTCACTTCTTCAAATTGACACTTCACATTACCCTTGTCACCAGAAGATTTAAGGGGCTTATTATGTTTATTAAACATGTTTATGGACAACTTTGTAGAGGGAAAAAATCGGAGGGCAAAGAGTCTCTTCTTGGAACAGATGGGAATTAGGGGAGCATTAAGAGCTTAGATAAGGAGGCTACAACCTTTTTACTCAGGTCAGACACAATGTGAGGACTGACCCAGCAACAACCGAGTCACACACAGACCTCAATTTGTATTGTGATTGGTAAAGAAAGTCAAGTTTTGTTTAAAAATGTATGGCTTTTTTATATTATTTGGGGTTTTTAATTCAACTACTATAAGAAAAAATTCACAAACATTTTAGTTCTCACGTTATAAAATTAGGCAACCATTTATTGATAAAACAACACAACCACTAAATGCTACTGAAAGCTACAGTATATTATACATTAAAGCAATACTCTGCAGAAGTCTTGAGATACCCTTTACATTTAAAAGGACAGAGTTTTTTGGTATTCTTTTAAAATTCTTCATTTATATGGTTTCTGAAGGACRTTTTTAATGCTTCCCCAAAGAGCTATTGTGCAAAAAATGGTCCTGATCTTTGCTGTTTTATGTGGCTTAGCGAGCAAACAAACATAAATTTTCTTCAAAAATTATATGTACAAAGACTGAAAAAAAAAATCAGAGAAAAATAAAAAAAACAAGAAAGGTGGAAAGCTGTTACTCAAAGCCATATAAAGCATACAAGAAAAGTCCTTGAAAAGGCAATTTTATGAATTTATGTCTCATAACTTTCAGACAGCAGCAGTTTGTGGTCAGTGTCATGGTTTTATTAGTCTGAGGCTGCTGTTTCGAGCCCAGGTGGCATTAAGATTTAAACAACTGCCAGATCTTTTGTGCAGGTTCGCTTGCTGTGGCAGCTTAAGTAAAACAAACATCTCATATTTTTTACAGTCTACCTCAAGTGGAATTAAATGTCATTCATTTATTATTTTTAATGAGTTTTAACTTGTTTTCTGAAGCACCATAAATCAGTCTTGAACAGCCACACATCTTTTTTGAAGTCTGACACCTGCTCCCTTGTGTCAAATAGCTAAGCCCATGATCGTCGATGTAAGCTGCCATGAGCAATCATGTGCACACGCACACATGTGGGCTCTTCTGACTCTCCAGTCAGCTGACTGGATACAATTGTCTGGGAGGATATGGGAACTGAAGTTTAGTGGGACACTGCGGGAGGGTTAGGGTTTCCATAAAAGAGGGTGAACATCATTGATATTGTCAAATATTCACAGAGAAGAGAAACTGAGGAGACCTCGACAAGCTTAGAGGAAGCAATTAAGGCAGAGAGACAAATATCATCTTGTTTTTTAAAGAGTTTGAAGATCAAACGGCAGAAAGTCATCAAGTGACATCAGTCGACACTGCTACAACTTAAAGGTTTGCAATAATATAACCAATTCTCTGCTTTTCAATTATGTAATAAATCTTTTTTTTTTGGCATTTCAGAATGTGTCTTTCATTGTTTGAACTTTTGTTTGTTTCTGCCCTTTTAGCATGCCTCCGTTTGTGCTGAAATGCACTCTGTTGTGTACATTGATGGCTGTAATAGTGTGTTCTTGTACGCTAAAAAATCACACCATATGGATCGAGAGGCAAAACTGTACCCAGTGTGTGGCTATCAACACAACCATCTGCAGCGGCTACTGCTACACCAGGGTGATGAGTCACCACGCTCTTACACTCTGGACACTACAATTTGATAAAACAGAACTAAAAAGCGACTGCACATTTTTACCCAATCATGTCATATACATTGAGAGGCAAATTTTGGATGAACTGTAACTCAATTTTTGGCATTATGTCTCATAAACAAACAAACAAAAAACTTTAAGAGTAATATCATAGTGTTTTGTTCAACCAGTGTACTGGGTCTTACAATCCTGCTTCCTGTACTCTAGGATACCAATCTGAAGGGTCGGTTTGGGAGGTCTTTCTTGATCCAGCGGAGCTGTGTGCCTCTCTCCCTGTTGTATCGAGCTGTCTTTCTTCCTGGCTGCCCTCAAGACGTCAACCCTTATCTGCATTATCCTGTGGCCCTCTGCTGCAGCTGCAGACGCTGTGACACACGCACACACCACTGTATCCGCCCCAGACCGTTCTCTTATGAACAGTGTTCCATAACACTCAGCGATGTGGAGAACAGGAGCCGGAGCTGCATTGGAAACCTGACCACGTGCTAACATGCACACACACGTGGGACAACATAGGAATTAGTCAGGTTGAAAACTTGTGCTTTTGCTTGATGTTCTTGGTTTGCTGCTGTTATATTTTCTGTAGAGTTGATACTGCAATAAAACTGTGAAAACACGCCTGTGAATTATGCTGCTAAAGTTGGAGGTTTAGATGTAAAATGAAGTTGTACATCTGCTGCTGCAAGCCTAAAATTCCATATAACGCCTTAAAGAGCATACATAAATTAAAGTGGCAATATTATGTGTTTCTCGTGCATACATTTAAATAATATACCATAATAAAGTATCTATGTCACCTTRAGCTGTTATTAAAATGCTGTTTTATGTTTAAATAGAAAATAAACTTATCTTCTCATCACTTCCTCTTCTAAACGCCTTGAAATTGGCCTCTGTCTCTTTAAGAACCAACTTCRGCTTCTGTCTCGCCCATTTTGGTGCAGSGGGTGGGGGGCGGCCATGATGCAGCCCACTTGGCATCTGAAAATGCATTTCATCAAAGGTATTTGTAATCTGAAAAGAGCTTCAATGAGTGAGAACTAAAGTTGAGAGCTCAGCAGACAGTTTAAGTTTCACTTTCATTTTCACCCGAGAGCCTGCAGAAGTCATGGGCGGGATGTGTGGGGAGGGAGGCGCTTGCCATGAGGAAGCTTGGCTTAAAGACACGTCCCAGGGGCGTTCCTGGTCCCCACCTGTCGTTTTGCTCCTCAGCATGGCTGCCTAAAAACGCTGCAGGATTTCTCAACCATGCATGAATGAGTCAGAGCAAGGCTTTGGGCATGTTTTTTTATGAGAGTATAACATTATAACATGATATAAAACTCAAAAATGTTGATTTTACATGATATTGCCCCTTTAAATGAAGTACTGCTCTTGAACCCTTTAGAGTAAATTATTATAAAACTATAAATCAAAATTTCTAACTTCAGCAGTCATATTTTTGTAACTAACGAGAACTGAAGTTAATACACAAAAATCACAAAAGAAAGTGTCACAAAACATGAAAGAAAGGAGGTACTGAGAATAATATACACTGGGCTAAAATATAGATTCCCAACTATTGTTCAAATTTGGTAACAATAGCATAAAGAATGAATATTTGAGACATAATACAATCTAGTATGCCCCAATGCATAATTGGACACATGTCCAAATATGTCCAAACTGGACACATTTTCTAAACACTAACACTAATTTCTAAATGCTTCAGCTCCTTCCCACATGGTGATAAAAATGTCATGATGATAAGGAACATCTGCGTGTTTGGAGAGCTTTCAGTCTCCCTGGATTGTGAGCTTGGGTTTCGAAAGAAGGGGCTGTTTTCTTTTTTCTTTTTCACCAAAAGCCCTTGAAACTGATAACCAAATAATTAGAAACTACATGAACATCTCAGATATCGTTGTGCTCTCTGCATCCTTCTTTGGGAGTTTCTATGAGGCCCTCTGCTGTCCCAAAAGGGGATACTTGTTTCTAGTGAAGTACTGTTGCCAAATGAGGAACGTGACTACACAAATGTGTAGAGAAATAGCACAAAGATAGTTGTGGTGAAACACACTTGGCATTATTTCCTTTACACATTTGGTTCATTCGGTGGTGTAGGAGAGAGAAAATAAAACTGTCTGAGTCTTTGTTGAACAGCACTGCACCACTGATCTCTTTAACCAGCCAGCATGTAACTGAATACTGAACTCCTCTTCATGCAACTTTTCCCTGCATTTGACCTTCCTCTTGTCAAACTTGACCATTTATTTATCTCTCAAGTCTCCATATTTTTGATAATGTGTGGATTGTGCAATAAAAAACAACATTTTGACCAAATAAAAAATTGTGGGTCTTTTTTTTAATTACGTTTTGCACAACCCTAAGGTGTTAATGTCTTGTGCAGTTATTGCAATCAGATGTTCTGGCTGCAGTGACTTTAATAAAAATGTATCAAAATTTTATTCAGTTTTATGAAGACTTGTTTTAAGATGTAAAGTGAGCATTTAGTTGCAAGCAAAATTATTGGCAGGTGCATCCTAGGAAGATGACTATGCTTTGGTTTGACTCTCTCTGGCTCTGTTTCTTGGCCAGCAGGGGTATGTAGGTGGAGAGAGGGGTCAGATTTATTCTCATGTCTGCATGGCTGGGTTTTCCTTCTATATATACAACCCCCCAGCTTCGTTCTACTCTTGCCTTGCTCTGTGTCTCTCAGGGACCCTCAGCCTGCTCTCCCTCTGTGGCCTCCCGCACTGAACTGACCAMCTTTTGCACTTGACAACAACCAAGAACCATGGCCCAGCAACAACAAATTAGGTAGGGTTATGTCAAGCATGATGTGTGAGCTGCATGTAGAATATAGATACGCCGCATGTTCCAATATATTCAGACTTTTAGATAATCTAACATACAGCCGTGTGTTTGGTTCCCCATGTCAGTGAGTTATTTTTGGATGAGCAAATTCCGAGAAGCTTGATTATGTAAAGCCTCACATGTAGCTCCAATAAATTTCCTTCTGTCACTACACAACTTTAATTCAGCTTCAGCAGGTTGTGTAAGCTCGCCTGACAGGTCCTTCCTTATAAAAGCAGCATTCAGTTTGTTATGATTTATTGTGGCTCGTCCTTCCACAGCCTACCTGCCAAACTAATCAACGGGGGGATTGCAGGCATGGTGGGAGTCACCTGCGTGTTCCCAATAGACCTGGCCAAGACTCGTCTGCAGAACCAGCGCAGCGGGCAGCAACTGTATAAAAACATGTAAGAATCACACCACCTGCCAAAAGAAAAAGGTGTCAACTCTCACCTTGACTCCCACACTATCTCCTACCCTTCCTTCCAGTACATTACTAGAAGGCGTGATTTAACAAAAATAAAACAAGATCTGACAACCTTCATTAATCCTTAGCTTTTTTTTTCAATTTTAGGATGGATTGTCTGATAAAAACTGTTAAATCTGAAGGCTACTTTGGCATGTACAGAGGTAAGACTTGACAGCCTGTTACAATAGTTCAATTCTATCTGTTCTATACCACAATCAAGTAACTATGCCACCTTCAGTTGTTATGAAAAAGCTGATTATATCAAAAAAAATTTGAACTTGCCTTATAGTGTATCTGAACACCTTAAAATTGTCCTCTGTCTCTTTAAAAGTCCTCCTACCGTTTCCAACACTCCCACTTCAGTCCATCTTCACAACAATGCTTTGGGGGAGGTGTGCTTTGTGGGGCGGGAGCTCTGCTTCAGACTGAGCTCCAGGGCYGAGCTTTGTGTAAATAGGCAGTGCTTTGCACCAGCAAGCATAATACCCCTCTTTAAGATAAAATGAGTTGGTTGTTTCCAAATACAGTTTAATTTCTTTGGGTCTTTGGTTTGCATTAAATTGTCCACTTTGATAAGGATCTCCCCAAAAATAATTTATATGCCTCCTGTTCTCCATTGAGTTATTTATTTATTTATTTTAAGGAAATTTGTTGAACTGTCTGAAACATACTCTCATATTTAAATGTGCTTAATACTGTTTCTGCAGGTGCTGCAGTAAACCTTACCTTGGTAACTCCAGAGAAAGCTATAAAACTAGCTGCTAATGACTTTTTTCGTCACCATCTGAGCAAAGATGTGTGAGTAATGCTCAATATAGCTCAGATCTTCATTGTTCTTTGTTTTATGTCCATGTTATTTTAACCAAGTCTGCATATGTCTTCAGTGGTGGACTAACGGTTTTCAAAGAGATGCTGGCGGGATGTTGTGCAGGAATGTGCCAAGTCATCGTCACCACACCCATGGAGATGCTTAAGATTCAGCTGCAAGATGCAGGCAGGCTAGGTATGGTAAACCAGACACTTAGATTAAAAAAGACCCTTTAATGTACACTTAACCAACATCTTGTATGAAACTTTTTGTGCTTAAAAACATGAATGTTTGTATCTTTTAGTGGCTCAACAGAGAGTAATACCAAGTGTAGCAACAACTCTGAAGATGGGGGGGACCAGTGCTGTTCTCAGCCGTTCCTATAACACCGCCCCTACACATCAGATCACACGTATTTCTGCCATACAGATCACCAAAGAACTACTGAGGACCAGTGGAGTCGCAGGATTGTACAAGGGACTTGGGGCCACACTGATGAGGTGATTGTCGCTAGCATTCTGCTAACAAACTTCCTGTTCCTTTATGTTTTTAGTGTTGCCACTCAACTATTTGTATGTTTTTCTTTTTTCCTTTCCTTTTTTAAAGGGACATCCCGTTCTCTGTTGTGTACTTTCCACTTTTTGCACATCTGCACCAGTTTGGTAAGCATTCATCAGAAGATCCATCCGTGCCGTTCTATTGGTCTTTCCTGTCCGGCTGCTTGGCTGGATCTGCAGCCGCTGTGGCTGTCAGTCCTTGTGACGGTAAGTTGTTAAAACTATATATATATATATATATATATATATATATATATATGATCCACAGTTTGAAGAACTGGAGACCAAATACGACTAAACCTTAAGGTTGTAGCCTAAATATTCTAAATACTCAACCAAATTTTTCCTGTGTCTCACAGTGGTCAAAACAAGGGTGCAGTCACTCAAAAAAGGAACTAATGAGGAAACCTACAACGGAGTGGTTGACTGTATTAGGTGGTTATTTTTTAAATTATTGGATGTTCTGCATTTGTCATATTGTAATTGACAGTAATACTGATCTTTTCTTTCCATTACAGAAATATCCTGAGAAAAGAGGGTCCCGGGGCTTTTCTAAAGGGGGCTGGTTGCCGGGCCCTGGTCATCGCCCCACTCTTTGGCATTGCCCAGGTTGTGTACTATGTGGGAGTTGGAGAGTTCCTGCTGGGGTACACACCCTACAACATATACTCTGCATAAACAGCCTGTTTCCAGACCTCTCTGGAAATGTGATATTATTTTAACTGCAGCAGCTATGTCCTGGGCAATAAACCCAGTTTTTTTTTTTTTTTACAAAAGTTTACCCTCTTTATTCTAAGAGATTCAAAGTTAAACGCTGAAAGGACCAGAAAGAAGCTATTTAGTTTCATCATACATTAAACTTGACTGTCTTTTGTTTACAAAAAGACTAGGCTTCTCTTTAGGTTTCAGTGAACCTAAGGGATGTGAGTTGCTTCTCTCACTGAGGGACTTGTTCACACATTTGCCCAGTGCAAACTATATCTTTCCTTCTGTTTTTAGATTTTGCCCTCACTCCTAAAAATATCATCACTAACCCCTGCTGTAACCTTAACCCTTTACACATCTCATCATGTGATTTTCCCTGGCATCCACTAGGAAATGTCTTGGTGTTGTGAGAGAATGCCATGTAACACTGCATAAAACCAAACTGATACTTGAACTACTTTTATTTGTTTTAGGTCACATGTGAAAGTGGAGTTTGGAGCGTATTTTTAATTTATGTATATATTGTGCAATTGTTTTTAAAGTACAAATGACATTTTTAGATAAATTCTACCACAAGACAATGATCAGGTTATGTCCTCTAAATAATCTGGAAACTGTTTGGACTGTCTTCTCAGTATTTAGATGTTTGAAGGGGCTTTTCTGAAATGTTTCCCAGTATTTGATCACACAATTTGGCATCTGTAGTTTACTTTCAGAAATAACTGTAACTCTTTTACTGTGAATCCTTTCTATGGCAGCCTGCAAACCACTGTTGCATTTTATGTGCAATTTTAAGCAATGTCAGCGGARAGTACAACACTTCTTTTACTTTAAAGGAGGCGTAGTTTAAAAAAGCAACATAAAATAATGATGAGAAAGATAAGACTTTATCCAGGGGTTTAATAAACTTGAAGGACCAAGTCTTAAAAACAGGTGCAATTTGCAGAGATGTTGTCTCAGTCTGCTGTACTGGATAAATTATGTTGCAGTATAAAAGCAACAAAAACAAAAGTGCAGACTGTCGTCTGAGAGCAGCTTTAGGCTACTTTCTCATTTTCTCTACCAGGAGTACTATCATTTGTTTCAATATTTGTTTTACAGTTGTTTTCAATTTGAAACTGAGCACAGCTTTGAATCTTTAAGTCAATTTTTCAGAATTACACAACTAAATAAACATTTCTGAATGTTAAATAAATTCTCATGACTGCAGTGTTTTATGTGTCGTTTATATATTTTGTGGACATTGCATATGCAATTATACATTAAAGGTGCGTAATACTTTTCTTCTGATGCAACCCTCTGAATTGTAACACTAATCTTCCATACATGAACCATGGTTTAGCTTTTTTGGCAATAAAAGTGCTCATGTTGCAGTGTTGGGGTAACTCTAGCTCGGGTATTCCTTGCTGCATTGCAGACATAACTATCTCTTCAACTGAGAACTGCTGTCAGCTGTTTTTGAAACTCATATGATGAAAGTAACCCTCTGACATGAATCTTGCACAAGTAAACCAGTAATCTGCTTTATTACAGAGGATATTTTAGGTGTTAGTTGCCCAATGTTGGTAGGGTAAATACTGCATTATGCTAAAGAACAAGTATTATTATCTTATACCTTGTAAATGTATTTACTTTGTTGCACTGAATTCAAAATTTTACATTTGCAACTGTATATATATAT